TCCAAATAAGGTTACATTCTGAGGTTCCAGGTGGACATAAATTTTGGGGGGAAAATTATTCAGCCCACTTCCCCATCTCACTCATAGTAGAAGCCTACATGGTCTCTGTATCTGACACGCCCCCCAACTACCACTCTCTGATCTCATCTCCCATCACCCCCCACCCTCACCTTGTTCACTCTACTCCAGCCTCTCTGCCCTCTTTGCAGTTTCTCCAACTCACCAAACACATGCCCACGCCAGGGCCTTCGCACTTGTTTTCCCATGGCTGGAATGCTGTGCCCCAGAGAACCACATGGCTCAGTCCATTATCCCCTTCAGGTCTTTGCTTAAATATCATCTCTCAAGCAAGGCTCTCCTAGATCACCTATTTAAAATCAAACTTCGTCTCTAGTTCCCAGTCCCCCTTCCTTGCTTTTTTTCTCTCTAAAGCACTCATCACCCGCGGGTACATTTTGTATTTGACTTGTTTGTTTATTGTCTGTCCTCCCCCTCTAGAAGGTAAGCTTCGTGAAGACAAGAATTTTTATCTCTTTTTTTTTGTTGTTGTTATTGTTTAAATGCTGTATCCCCAGTGCTTAACAGTGTCTGGCATGGTAGATGTTCTATAAATATTTTTCTGATTCTTCTAATTTCTCAAGAGAAGCTGGCAATCCGAATTTTAAATGAAATTACCTGACTTTAAAATATTGGCTTGATTTTATTTTTTTAAACACTGCATGGGCCAAACAAAGCATATTTTCAGGCTAGGTTCTGCTCCTGGCCCCCTCACTTGAGGCCCTTTGTGTAAATTGTATTTCCCACCCCACCAGATAGTCTGAGTAAGTTTCTCCAGACCCCTAATTGAGCTATGACGGATTGGACACAGGAGAGAGGAGGGGTACGAAAAGACGCAACAAGCTAGAACTGACTGAGCACCGTTCAAGTTGGTGGCTGCAGGCTCTGCTGCAAAGCGTCCAGTTTAATTCCAGCCCTGTGGGCTGGGAGGCCAGCTGTGGCGTTCAGCTCCAAGCAGACAGCTGCAGCTCATACCGGCGGTTCCCTGCAGTCCCTGAGTGCCAGTAAACCCTTGCCAGCCCAGCCCCGCCACACCACGTTTAGACACCTGCCACAGCCCTGGACACTAAATGGGCTTTAAGAGGTTTTTGTGGTTTTTTTTCCCCTTTGAGTTCAACTACAACTAGCAGAAGACCTCTGTAATACTGGGGGTTGGAGCCACTCTTCCTTAGCAAACAATGCTAAGGCGAGCCAGGGGAGAAACAGGCAAAACAAAACGCAAAGGGGAGAGAAAGGAAGGTTCTGGAATCTGGCTTTTCTGGGTCTGGGACAGGGCCTTCTTAGCATTCTAAGATGCAGGGTGGTACACGGTTTAGCGCCAGGCTGTGGAAGAGGGCAGACCTGGGGCACAGCCTGGCTCTGCCACTTACATGCACACTTACTGAATGCCTCATGCATGAACTGGGCTCCATGACTTACGTGAAGGTTTATTGAGCACCTACAGTATATATACTCAGGACTGGCTGCAAAATGAAAACGCGGGGCCCCTTGTTAAAAAATTATTACGAATTTTGAGATGACAGCAGAGCATTAAGCCTCTGCAGGGGGTCCCAGGGAAGCCTCACTTAGCTCTTGGCACAGGCAGTAACAAGACATTGAGGTCCTTTTCAGTAGATTTCCATTGTGACAGGAGCTGTCCCTCCTTCTTTCTGTGTTTGAAGTGGAATGGTCATCTTAATCTGGGAAGATTATTTTAACCACACAGGAGCAGATGAAATAGATTTCTGTAAGGGACCTTCTCTCCCACGTGGCCAACTAGCAGCCCCCCTCCAACTTCTCCCACGTGAAGGTTTAATAACCCCAAAGGCTGCAGGATAGGAAGGGAGTTCATTCCATGTTCACCTCTCAACTTCTCATCTACTCCACTTCACAGGAAAGAAGACAGTGTTGTAACAAAACTTCCAGAGAAATCAGGGCCTACTGGACACAATGATCCACTTTCTGTTTGCTTTTTAAATAATTAAAATGTAACCTCCACGGTCCCTTTCCCCTTACTCTTTGGCTACTCCTGTCTGTGTATGTGTGTGTGTAGGGGGTGGTTCAGAGAGGACGTAAGAGAAGACATGGATAATTTCAGCTGGGTTTATGTAGTGTTGGGAGCCCTGGTGGCACAGTGGTTAAGAGCTGGGCTGCCAGCCAAAAGGTTGGCAGTTCAAATCCACCGGCCACTCCTTGGAAACCCTATGAGTCAGAATCGACTCGATAGCAACAGATTTGGGTTTTGGTTTTATGTACTGTTGATGAGGACTCATTCAGTCATTCAAAAAATATTTATTAAGTGCCTTCTATGTGCCAGGCCCTGTGCTAAGTGCTGGAGGTTAAGCAGTGAACAAAACAGAAACAAGTTCCGCAAGGAGCTTACATTTCAGCAGGGGTATTCAAACTCCAAGCAAATAAACAAATATAAGAAATATTATAAATTCAGGTAGTGATAAGAGCTACGAAGAAAAACTAATCAGAGTAAAGGAAACCAGAGTGGAGGAGGAGCTATTTTAAAATGAGTGGTGACATTGGTAAAATGAGGAGGTGACATTAGAGAATAGACCCAAGTAAAGGGAAGGAGTGAGCTGAGCAGTAGCTTCAGGAGGAGTTCCAGGCAGAGGAAGAGGAAAAGGCAAGTGAGAATGTGACTGGTGTGTTCAAGGAGCAGACAGAAGACCTGTGGGGCTGGGGAAGAGTGTGCAAGGGGCAGAGCGGAGGCAAAGAGCAGTGGGAGGCCACGGGGAGCAAGATAGTGCTGAAGAGTTTTGATTTTATCCTAAGAGTAATGGGGAGCCATTGAAGACTCTTGAGCAAAAGAGTGTCATGAGTTGACTTAGTTCTTTTGGGATGGAGGGAACTTTTTTAAAAATTATTTTTATTGAGGTAATGCACACTTAAAGTACATGAAGTACACACATCTTAAGTGTTTAGCTTTATGGATCTTTACACATATGTACACCTGAGTAACTGCTACCCAGATTAAGATACAGAAGATTTTCACCCTGCAGAGGCCTCCTCATGCCCCCCTGCCATCCGTTCCCTCCCCAAAGATAACAATTGATGTGATCTGATTTCTTTCACATCGGATAGCTTTGGTTGTCATTAAACCTCACGTACATGCCATCACTCAGTGTATATTTTTGTATCTGGCTTCTATCACTGAACAATTTCTATGAGATCCATCCATGTTATTATGCTTATCAGCAGTTTGCCTTTTATTGCTGATTAATATTCCATTGTATGAATATGCCACAGTATATTTATATACTCTCCCTTTGAAGGACATTTGGGTTGTTTCTGGGTTTGAGCTATTATGAGTGAAACTGCCATGAACATTCTTGTACATGTCTTAGAACATAAGCACTTTTCTTTTGGGTGTATCGCTAAGAGTAGAAACCCTGGGTCATAAGGTAGGTGAATGTTTAGCTGTAGTAGACACTGCCAAACAGTTTTCCAAAGTGGTGGTACCATTTTTTAAAACAATCTTAACAATGTAATTCACATACCATACAATTCGCTCGCTAAAAGTGGAAAGTATATTTACAGAGTTCCGCATCCATCATCACTGTCAATTTCAGAACATTTTCATTACCCTAAAAAGAAACTCTGTACCCCTTAGTGAAGGAGCCCTGGTCGTGCAATGGTTAAGCTCTCAGCTACTGTCCAGAAGGTTGGTGGTTCAAACCCGCCTGGTGTCTCTGTAGGACAAAGACCTGGCAGTCTGCTTCTGTAGGGATTACAGCCTAGGAAACCCTATGGGGCATTTCTACTGAGTCAGAATATGAAGGGTCACTATGAGTCAAAATCAATTCGATGGCATCCAGGCATGCAGCAGCAGGAGCAACAACAACCCCTTAGTCATCATCCCCCAATCCTCCCCATCCCCCCAGTCCTCAGCAACCACTAGTCTATTTTCTGTCTCTAAGGGCTTGTGCATTCTGGACATTTCATATAAAGGGAATCATGCAATATGTGATCTTTTTTGTCTGGCTTCTTTCACTGAGCATAATGTTTTCAAGATTCATCCATGTTGTAGCATGAATCAGCACTTCATTGCTTTTTATTGTTTAGTGATATTCCGTTGTATGGATAGACTGCATCTTATTTATCCGTTCATCAGTTGATGGACATTTGGGTTGTTTCTACTTTGGGGCTGTTATGAATAATGCTGCTATAAACATTTGTGCCCAAATTTTGTGTGGACGTATGTTTTCATTTCTCTTGGGTATACACCTAGGAGAGGAATTGCTGGTGACTCTATGTTTAACTGTGGTGGTACCGTCTTTACATACTGTAATTTAGATTTGTAAAGATCCCTGGCTGAAGCAGGTCAAGGGTAGATGCAGGGAAACCAGTGAGGAGGAGACTACTGCAGGACGGTGGGCAGAGATGGTTGTGGTTTGGACCAGGATAGTAGCAGTGCAGGCAGGAAGAAGTGGGTAGGTGCCAAGTGTATTCTGAAGATCAAGACAGCAGGGTCTTTCGATGGCTTACATGTAGAGAATTAAAAAAAAAAAAGAAAAAGAAAAGGAGCCAGGGACAACTCTGTAGTTTGGAACCTTAACAACTCTGAGGTTTTATAAGTTTGATCAGGGCCAAGGTAGCTGATAAATGAGTCAGATGATATGCTCTACCAGAAAGAGTACTGGCTGGCTTTGAGTTGAGATCTCTGACCTAACCCCTGCTGGCTATGTGCCCTTGGGTCAACAGTGAAATGGGAAGAACCTGGGTTTAAGGGAAGACGCTGTCTTCTCTGGACCAGTTCTACCACTACGTAGCTGTGACTCCCAACAGGACATTTCCCTCTTGGGTCCCGAGTTTCCCCATCTGGAAAATGGAGAAGCTGGATGAAGTTCCGTCTCTTCTCTATATCCTCCGGAGTGCTTGGCACGTAGTAGGGGCTCAAGAAATCAGGAGTGGTCGAATGACTGGGTGATCTTCTCTGGGTTGATGTCTTTCAGGAGCACTGGACTTCCACCATGACTGACACTGTGCTCAGCAACAGCTCCAACCGTTGGGTGTGTCCCAGTGATCGACCCCTTCAATCAAAGTAAGTCTCTGGGTCTTCCTGGGAGAGGCTTGTTTGGGGTCACTGATGATCTGACCATTCTATACATGAAAAAGGAAAGGAATAGAGGAAAGGAAGTTCCTTTCCTGTAGTGGGAGAAAAGAAACCTAGTGGGAGTTTTGTCATGGAAACGTCTATACTGGTTCCACTGCCTTGAAAGGTAGTAATCACACGGTTAAATTCTGAGTTCCATGCCCCAAATTAGGGGTGCCCTGGTGGAATGGAAGGAGCATTGGCCTGGTGGTCAACAGACCAGGGTTCTAGTTCTGGTTTGAGCTAATTCACTATGTGAGCATAGGTGAATCTCTTCCTCTCTCTGGGCCTCAGTTTCCTCATTAGTCAAATAAGAGAGAGGGACTAGATCAGAGGTTGCAAACTGGCAGGCTGACTCTGACTTGCAGAAGTGGGTTTGTAATTTATATTTTTGTCCTGACCATTTAAACATTGAGAAGTTTTCCATAAAAGTCCAGATTCCTGTCTTGTCTTTGAAAAATCAGAAGATCTGGCAACAATGAGCCAGAATTTTACTGTGCCAACAATTCAGTAGGAGCTGAGTAGCAGCTGGTATCTTTACACTGGGCAAGATCTCTTCAATTTTCCACAGTCCCCACCATTCCCTATCATCTCTCCAATAATCTCATCTACTTTTCTCATTTATGTTACCAACCCATCCCTGTTGACATCCCTGGATTAAATAACATCCAAGGTCCTTTAATTGTGACCTTATGTGGTTTTTACATAGGGTAGTATTTTGGGACCAGTTTCAGAGTTTAAATTCTGGGTGAAGCAGTTGAGGATATGGTCATTTTGTGAACAGAATTCATGATAGTGTGGCTATTTGCCAATGATTGTGGCTTACTCAAGGAATGTGGAAAAGGCTTTTAAACAAAATTCCTTCCTTACTGGAACCAGTGTTTCCCTAACCTTGGTCATTTGAGCACTTCCTTCACAGCGCTGGTGGTGAAGCGGTTAAAGTGCTCGGTTGCTAACCATAAGGTCAGTGGTTTGAACCTACCAGCTGCTCCACGCGGGGAAGATGTGGCAGTCTGCTTCCCTAAAGATTACAGCCTTGGAAACCCTAAGGGGCAGTTCTACTCCATCCTACAGGGTCACTATGAATCAGAATTGACTCAACAGCAATGGCTTTGGTTTGGGGTTTTTTTAACGAAACATCACTAATATTGTTTTCTTTAAATTGACTTACTTAAAAAAGTAAACATTTGTTTAAAAGGGAAATTTTAGATCACATTTTAAGTGGAAAACCAGTTCATGCTTTCCATAAACAAAGATAATAGTAAAAAACAAATATAATTGAAAGGAAACAACATTAAATTGCAGCTATATACTGTGGCTCCCCAAGGCTGAGCCTGAGACCTGCTCTCCATTTGCTGTAAACGGAGCTCAACAAGTGATAGAAAGGTGTTAAAAGATCAATTAGCACCAAACAGAGACTTTCTCCTTGAGGTAATCAAAGGGTTGGAAAAAAGATTGACAAGGGGGTATCTTTCTTTGTCGTTAAATCTTGTTTAATGCCCAGTTGTTGCCTATTTTCTGCTCTTTATTAGATTGTTCTGTTGCACATAGGGTCACTATGAGTTGGAACTGACTCGATGGCACCTAACAACAACAAATTAGATTGTTCTTTCCTCATTTCTGGAGCTTATACTGTTACTCTCTAAATTCTTGGGTTGTATTTTTTACCTCATTAATATAAGCCTCCTTTCTTTTCTAATATCAGCAATAAGACTTGTGAATTTCCCACAAAGTATCACATTCAAAACATCCCACAAGCTTCAATATGTAGCATTTTTATTGTTTTTCAGGTCTGTGTGTTTTGTTTTGTTTTTTATTGTGCTTTAAGTGAAAGTTTACAGCTCAAGTTTGTTTGTCATATAAAAATTTATACACACATTGTTATGTGACCCTAGTTGCTGTCTCTGTAATGTGACAGCACTCCTTTCCACCTCAGATTTCCCATGTACACTCAACCAGCTCCTGACTCTCTCTGTGTTCTCGTCTCACCTCCGGACAGGAGCTGACCATTTAGTGTCATGTATCTACTTGAACTAAGAAGCACACCCTTATGAGTATCATTTTAATGTCTTATAGACCAGTCTAATCTTTGTCTGAAGAGTTGGCTTCGGGAATTGTTTCAGTTCTGGGTTAGCAGAGAGTCCGGGGGCCTTGTCTTCCCGGTCCCTCCAGTCTCATTCAGATCATTAAGTCTGGTCTTTTTACTAGAATTTGAGTTCTGCACCCTATTTTTCTTCTACTCCGTCAGGGACTCTCTGTTGTGTTCCCTGTCAGGGCGGTCACTGGTGGTAGCTGGGCACCATCTAGTTCTTCTGGTCTCAGCCTCTGGTTTATGTGGCCCTTTCTGTCTCTTGGGCTAATACTTCCCTTGTGTCCTTGGTGGTCTTCATTCTCCTTTGCTTCAGGTGGGTTGGGACCAATTGATGCATCTTAGATGGCCACTCACTAGCTTTTAAGACCCCGGACATCACTCACCAAAGTGGGATACAGAACATGATCTTAATACTTTGTTTTGCCAATTGACCTAGATGTCCCCTGAAACCATGGTCCCCAGACCCCCGCCCCTGCTACTCTGTCCCTGGAAGTGTTTCGTTGTATTCAGGAAACTTAGCTTTTGGTTTAGTCCAGTTGTGTTGACTTCCCCTATATTGTGTGTTGTCCTTCCCTTCACCTAAGATAATTCTTGTCTATTATCTAGTTAGTGAATACGCCTCTCCGTCCCTCCCCACCCTCATAACCATCAAAGAATATTTTCTTCTGTGTTTAAACCATTTCTTGAGTTCTTATAATCGTGGTCTCATACAGTATGTGTCCTTTTGCGACTGACTAATTTCACTCAGCATAATGTCTTCCATATGTTACTGAGATGTTTCACAGTTCATCATTGTTCTTTATTGTTGCATAGTATTCCATTGTATGAATATACCATAATTTGTTTATCCATTCGTCCGTTGATATGCACCTAGGTTGTTTCCATCTTTTTGCTATCATGAACAGTACTGCAATGAACATGGGTGTGCATATATCTGTTTGTGTGACAGCTCTTATTTCTCTAGGATATATTCCAAAGAGTAGGATTGCTGTATCTTATGGTATTTTTATTTCTAGCTTTTTAAGGAAGTGCCAAATCGATTTCCAAAGTGGTTGTACCATTTTACATTCCCACCAACAGTGTATAAGTGTTCCAGTCTGTCCACAACCTCTCCAATATTTATTATTTTGTGTTTTTGATTAATGCTAGCATTGTTGGGGTGAGATGGTATCTCATTGTAGTTTTGATTTGCATTTCTCTAATGGCTAATGATCGTGAGCATTTCCTCATGTATCTGTTAGTCTCTTGAATGTCTTCTTTGGTGAAGTACCTGTTCATATCCTTTGCTCATTTTTTTATTGGGTTATTTGTGTTTTTGTTGAAGTTTTGCAATATCTTGTAGATTTTAGAGATTAGATGCTGATCAGATTTGTTGTAACCAAAATTTTTTTCCCTGTCTGTAGCTTATCTTTTCACTCTTTTGGTGAAGTCTTTCGATGAGCATAAGTGTTTGATTTTTGGGAGCTCCCAATTATCTAGTTTCTTTTCTGGTGTTTGTGCATTATTATTCATGGTTTGTATTCTGTGTATGCCATGTATTAGGGCTCCTAGCATTGTCCCTATTTTTTCTTCCATGATCTTTATCATTCTAGATTTTATGTTTAGATCCTTGATCCATTTTGAGTTAGTTTTTGTGCATGGTGTGAGGTATGGGTCTTGTTTGATTTTTTTTACAGATGGATATCCAGTTATGCCAGCACCATTTATTAAAGAGACTGTCTTTTCCCCAATTAGTGGACTTTGGGCCTTTGTCGAATATCAGCTGCAAATAGGTGGATGAATTTATGTCCAGATTCTCAATTCTGTTCCATTGGTCTATGTATCTGTTGTTGTACCAGTACCAGGCTGTTTTGACTACTGTGGTGGTATAATAGGTTCTAAAATCAGGTAGTGTGAGGTCTCCCACTTTGTTCTTCTTCTTCAGTAATGGTGTACTTATCTGGGGCCTCTTCTCTTTCCATATGAAGTTGGTGATTTGTTTCTCCATCTCATTAAAAAATGCCATAGGAATCTGGATTAGTATTGCATTGTATCTGTAGATTGCTTTGGGTAGAATTGACATTTTCACAATGTTGAGTCTTCCTATCCGTGAGCAAGGTATGTTTTTCTACTTATGTAGGTCTCTTGGTTTCTTGCAGTAATGTCTTTGTTCAGTTCTGTGTATTTTTAAATTTCCCTTATGATTTGTTCTTTATCCCAAGAGTTATTTAAAGTTGTGTTTTTAAATTTCCAAATGTTTGAAGATTTTTAAATTGTTGTTGTTGTTGTAGATTTCTAACTTAATTGCATTGTAGTCATATGATTTTATTTCTCTTGAGTAAATACCCAGGAGTGGAACGTCTCGGCCATGTGACTGGTATATATTTAACTTTTTAAGGGACTGCCAAATTGATTTCCAAACTGATTGCACCATTTTAAATTTTAACCAGAAGTGTATGAGAGTTACAGTTTCTCTACATCCTCACAACACTTGGTATTCAATCCTTTTGATTTTAACCATTCTAGTATGTATGTATAGGAGCCCTCGTGATGCAGTGGTAAAAGCGATCGACTGCTAACCAAGAGGTTGGTGATTTGAAACCACTAGCAGCTCTGTGGGAGAAAGATGTGACAGTCTGCTACCTTTGAGATTTATAGCCTTGGAAGCCAAATGAGGTCGCTGTGAGTCGGAATCAACTCAACAGTAGTGGGTTTGGTTTTGGGTTTTTTTAGTATGTGTGTAATAGCATTTCATTGTGGTTTGACGCAGTGGTTAAGTGTTCAAGTGCTAACCAGAAGGTCAGCAGTTCAAATCTACCACCGCTCCCTGGAAACCATATGGCGCAATTCTACTCTGTCCTGTAGGATCGCTATGAGTCGGAATCGACCCAGTGGCCCAGGGGTTTGGTTTGGTTTTAATGACTAATGATGTTGATAATCTCCTCATGTACTTTTTGCCATTCATATAACCTCTTTGGTGAAGTGTCTGTTCAAATCTTTTGGCCATTTTAAAATTCAATAATTTATCTTCTTATTTGTGATACAAATTCTTATTATAGATACAAGCCCTTGTTGAATATACATTTTGCAAATATTTTTTTCCCATCTATGTCTTGCCTTTTCTTTTTTTATTACATAGTCTTTTGAAGAGGAGAATTTTTTTTTATTTTGATGAAGTCCATTATATTGACTTTTTGTTTCTTTGTTTTGCAAGGGAGAGGCATCTTAGAAAGTTCCCTTACTTTCTAGCAAGTTCAGGACTTGATTTTAAAATGTTTATTTTAATTTATCTAGAACCTAAATATGTACTGGTGAAGAACCTTTCTGTATATGGAGTCTACCCATATTCTCCAAAGCAAAAGTCCCCTTTCTGTTTACAACTTCTATCTAGAACTTCCTCCAGTTTATGCATTTTACAGGGTTTTTTTTTCCCTATATATCCTAAATCAGAGGGCTTCACTCTCTTTTCATCTCTTTATTAGTTAATTAATATTATGTATGTATATTTGAAACTCCCCATCACCTCGTGAGTTTTACAGTTTCGAAGACACTTCTGAACTTCGTTGGTTTCCTTTTCAAAAGTCAGCTCCTAGTTTCCGAAGCCCTTCCTGTGATGTCTTCCTGGAGCCAAACTTACTTTGCAGAGAATATTCCATTAGCCGAAAAGTGTGTCTCTGTGAGATAAACAGTTGTCTGAAGGGTGGATGGTGGCGGGGGGGTGGATATTTATTTTATTTAAGAAATGTCAGTTAATTAAAATCCCATCCATCAGAGTTTACATTAGTCGATAGGAAGCCAAACAATTTGCCTTAGAATGAAATTAGAATTATTCAGACAGTCTAGATACTGTTTCATTAAAGTGCTCCTGGGCATCCATGAAACATCTTTGCATTCTGAATGCATCGGGGTTGGCTTGATTGCTACTGCATTTTCTTCAGAAATTAAAATTATTTCCCAATAAATGCTAGTGGATGAATTATAGTCATCACACATGCTGCCTAGTCTGTTGCAGTGGCGATGTGTTAATGCAGACACTTCTAATGTCTTTCTCCAGTAAATTAAGAAATTTACTCTTAATTAACTGCTGGCTAGCCAGATACACTTCATGCTTTTGTGATTTTCAAATGTCTTCCTCTCTCAGCCTCCTTGAATCTAATATCATGTTTGGAACCAGCAAGGGGATATGAAACAAGTGAATGTACCTGCTTCTTTCTTACTGCTTAGGGTGGTGGCTCACCTGTCAACACTGGGAATCCATGGGGGGAAATGCTGGGCTTGGACAGTTGGTATTTCTAGGTAGCTTTCAAGTCCATGAGCCAGAGAGTGCCAGAGACGGGAGACGGAAACTGAGGCACCAAGAGAGGACATAGGCTGCCTGTGATTACGTACCTTATAAATGGAGATGCTAGTCTCCTTTCTAGAATGGAAGGACTTAGTGTCCTCATATGGGGAAGCAACAGTTCTACTTTTGCATAATACAGTTACTGTTCAAGGCTCATTGCTCTACCTCCATGCGGTCCCATCCCCAGTGTTTGAACCACTGGAAACCAAGAATGATGGTGATTATGTTATCATTAAGTGATTTCTCGCTAGTGGCCAAAAAACCATTATTCATATACATAAATGATCAACGCAGTTAATTAATACGTTGAACTAATTTGTTAATTTAATCAAAGCTGTGAATCTGATAATCCTACATTGAAACAGCCTCATTTTAGATGTACTGAAATGAGATAATAATGAATGAAAAAAAAATGGAGGTAGATCATCATAATTCAAACTGTGTGGTGGTTGTATCCAAAACAGCATTGGTATTGTCATAATATTTCTTCTCTAACTTTATTCATTTTTTCTTTCTCTCCTTTCTTTGCCTTCCTTCAGTGATAAAGAACAGTGAGTATTCTATGCCACTTTTATTTTTCTACACGCTCCATTTTATCTCTTTTCTGATCTAGGTGACTTGTCCCTAAAGAGAGTTGGTTAAAAAAGGAATTACCAAATTTACATGTCTAAAAAAATTCCAAGTTATTAAAAACCACATGCCCATCTCGAGAAAAAAAATTATGGAATTAAAACAAAAAAAAACTTGATAAAAGGATTAAAAGTGTTCCTTAGCAAATCTCCAAATTCAATTCTGGTTAGTAATTTGTGAGATTTCACCAAGTTTATTGACCACTCTGTGATCTTGTTACTGCAGCATTTTGCTGGGGAACACTGTTCTTAGATAAAGAACATGTTAGCTCAAATAACTGCTGTCCTTAATGAAAGTGGATGGTGAACAGAACAGAACTTCTCAGTTGTTCTGAGCTGTACACGCAGTCTCTGTCACCTCATCGGAGGTCAACCTGATGTCCCAGTGAAATGCCTTCAACTCAGAGGCCCTATCTTTGCTTACAACTTTGGTATTTTTAATTGGGTTCATTTCCTAAATATGCATGACAGATTGGCTGCTTGGCCCAATAAATCAGCAGCTAGACTGCAAAGCAGACCAGTCTTCCCATTGCGTGCACACTTTTGATGCTATGGAAAGCCATTGCCACCCTCCCCATGATGGGAAGGGTATCACAGAACCACAGGTGCAGCCCTGAGGTCAGGAGACTCAGGTCTGAGTCCTGCTCTCATACTCGCTATCAGCATGGCCTTGAGCACTGCCTTCATTTGAGTCCTGGCTCTCTGATTTGTAAAATGGTTATGATAAATAACCCTTACCCTTCCTCCCTCACAGAGTGGTGATGGGATCAAATGAGATTCACGGGAAAGCTTTGTAAACTGTAAAGTGCCGAGCAAAGTCAGGTGCAGGTATAAATGGCAACCATGCCTTACCCTGGTGTTTATGTATGTAGCACTTGCATAATTTATTCAGCTTTTTTGGGATCCAAATGACTACATCTGCAGGCCCAGAATCTTCTAAAGGTTTATTTAACACTGATAAGCACATAACTAGATGACCTGGGGAAATTCTCCCTGCTCTGTGCCTCAGTTTCTCCATCTGTCAAATGGGGGCTCTGAACAAGCTGACTGCTAAAAAGCATTTGAATGCTCTACAATGTCTGTAGTTGGCTGATAAGACCCTGGCCAGGAAAGATCTGCTTTTGATGAAGATCGTGAATATATTATTCAGATACACCAGAGAGAGAGACACTAAGACTTTGTCAGATTAGAAATATGAACATCACAAGAGAGCAGTTCGTGACTTCAGGAGGCTCACTTTCTCCCTCTTCCCCTTCTTTCTTTCTTTCCTTCCTTCTTTTATTAACAAATACTTACCAAGTGCCTGCTATGTACTAAGCACTGTGTTAAGTACCAGGGATACAGGGATGGCCGAAGTATGAGGGGGAGGAAAAAGAGGAGAGGGTATGTTAAGTGGGGTCTATAAACAAATAAACAGCCAGTCACCAACAAACACACTCCAGTGTGTTAGGAGCTATAATAGTAGAATCACAGTGGGCTGTGGGAGCACAAAGACAGGCATCTAGCCCAGAATTGGACGTCATGATGGGGAAGGTTTCCTGGAAGAAGTGACATGTCAGCTGAGACCAGGTGAAGGAGGAGTGAGATGGGCAAGAGACCAAGGAGTTCCAGTAGGGGGAATAGCATGTGCAAAGTGCAAGTGTGAGAGACAGTGGGGGATTTTAGAAGAACCGAATGGAATTCAGTGTGGCTGAAAAGGTTAGCAGGAGTCCAAGGTCCTCTTGGCATTCTGGGGGGTTGTGGGGGGAGCCCAAGCATCCCTTCTGTGCTCCTATAGTCTGTTTGGAATAAATGTCACCCAAAAGGGCCTTGGCAGCAGCTGGGCACGTGTGAAATGTTTGCTGGTGCGGCTGTCCCTCCCTTCCTCAGCCTTTCCTTCAGGATTCATTAAGACCTCATTCGCTGGGCTGTAAAGACACTTCCTGCTGATACCTGCCCGTGTTGGCATCCTGAGGGAAGAGGGGAGGGTGGAGAAGAAGAAAGCCAAGAAAAAGGATTAATTTTCTGCACTCTGCTGCTATTTAATGCTTCAGAGCCTCTGTGCCCCGACAGCACTTCCATCATCCCACTCCTTTTGGGAGTTATAATTTATTAATACAGACATCTGGTGGGGTATTTATTATGTGACTATTGTGTGCATGAAATGAAGAATCAAGGTGGGAGTCAGGAAGGAGGTGGCAGTCTGCCCTTTGAAGTTTTTAAGGGAGAAACATCTGTGAGGGGTTTCCACCTGAAGTCAGGATTCATTTCCTTTTGTCTTGGGGGCCACTGTGATGCTGGCTTTGGTGGAGGGGTGCCTTCTGACCCTCTCAAGATGTACCTAAGCAGGTACATTCAGGTAGCAGATGAAGCATGTCTAAAAGGTCGGTTTCTCGAGTCCCTGACCATACCCTCTCCACACATGTTTCTTAGCAATTCTTTTCCCTCTTCTGAGCCTCAGACATCTGGAAAATGATCACATCAACTACAGTGATCTTTAGACTTTTTTTTGTTAGCAGCAGATTTTTGCATAAAATTGTATTCAGAAGCTAAATATATAAGACAGATAAGAGTGGAGCTGGATAAAGATTGTTAGTAGATGAAAGCATTAAAAATCTCATGGTGAACTTCACGCAGCTGTAATTTAAAATAATACCAAGCTGTAAAGTAAGTATACAGAGTCAGCAAACTTCAGTTTTTTTTTTTTTTGTTTGTTTGTTTTTTTTACCACAGTGAGTACTATACTGGGTAGCTTTTTTTTTTGAAATTTGGACATAAGGTTTATTCTGAGCGGTTATTCTGTACGCATATAGGGAGGCCATTTTGATTTCAGAAAAAGCAAATGGCTCAAAGAAGCTAGGTACAATGGGGCTTATAAAGACAAGAGGAGGGATAAATACAGAAGATCAACCATTGGCTAATCTTAACATGATTAACTGAACCCTGCCTTTTGCCTTTACTGAGATCAACTAATAGCAGTTTACTTCTGGCCTGCCTGCTAATAATTTGGCCCTGTAATATACTGGGTAGCTTTTGCTATGTGATAAACAATATTAAAACTCAGTGGCCTAAAACAAGTTATTTATTCTCAGGGATCTGGGCTTGGCTGGTGGCTCTGCTGATCTTGGCTAGGCTTGCTCATGCTTCAAAGGATTGGCTGATCTAGGATGGTCCTGGCTGGAATGACTGAGTTATGCTCCACATGTCTCACATCTTCCAACAGGCTATCCTGGGCATGTTCTTGTGGTGATAGCAGAGGTGTAAGAGAGTAAGCAGAAACACTGGCACAACATCACTTCCCTGCATTTTATTGGCTAAAGCAAAATCAGATTAGATTCAAAGGGTAGGGAAATAGATGCTGACTTTTTGGTGAGAGGAATGTCAAAGTCACACGTCAAAGGGTATGGATAAGAAAAGGATGACGTATTGGGGCCATCATTGCAATAAATTACATTTCATGCCTTTACTGAAATACCAAATATTGAATCCAAATTTCTGTAGGTAGAGTTCAGACGTCTGTATTTCAACAAGCTCTCCAAGTGATTCTTAGGCACACTAAAGTTTGGGTCACCTCACTGCCTAGAGGCATTTATAGCTTGGGGACCAGTGCCCTGATGTGGTTAGCATTATCTTTTCCCAATAAAGGAGTTTTGATTCTAGGGTGGGAACTAAAATGCCCTAAAAAATGATAATAGGTGTTTCATGTAGGGGGCATACAACCAACTCCTTTCTCCCCTACAAATTTCCCCCTCCACCTCAAAGCTGCCTCTGAGCATTTCATCCTGTGCACAGGGCATGGCAAATAGCTCTCTGCAGGTATGCCAGGTGTAGGCAGGCCCTACAGAACCCCAACCTCTTCATTATCTGGGGGAAATATACTAGTTCCATTCCCATCCACAATCAGTATTTTGTTGTTGTTGTTGTTGAAAATACACACAGCAAAACATACACCAATTCAGCAGTTTCTACATGTACAATTCAGGGACATTGATTACATTCTTTAAGTTGTGCAACCATTCTCACCCTCCTTTTCCAAATTGCTCCTCCCCCGTTAACTTAAACTCACTGTCCCTGAAGCTCTTGGTGTCTACTGTGGTCCTCAAAATGAAGCCCAGTTTAAAAAAAAAAAAAAGATGTTTAGAAGCATCAGTCGGAAGCTCCTGAGATTTGCACAGGTAATCAGCATCGTCTAACTTCAGGAGCCACCTAGAGCAATCAGGATGAGGGTGGTAGTGCGTCTGGGACAGCTCACAGATGAAGGCTCAGGGGAAAGAGTGTGAGATTGAACCAGCTGGCTGCCTTTCAGAAAGGCAGGAGAGCATGGCGGTTCTGACCACAGGCTTTTTTCCGCAGAGTTGGGTTTGCTACTTCAAGCTGTGTGACCTTGGACAAGCGATTAACCTCTCTGAGCCTTGGTGTTCTAGAAAGGAGAATAACACCTACCTCATAGGATTTAGTTAGAATTCAGTGAGACGATGTGTGTAAACCCTGTGAGATAAACCTTGACTCCACTTAACATATGAAGAACTGGAGTTCAGAGAGATGAAGTACTTTTCCCAAAGTCACACAGCTCCAGGAGTTGAACCCAGGCCTGTCTGAAATCAATGCTAATTCTTTTTTCCATTGCATTCTAATGTCTTGATAGGTTCTGGGTCTGAGTTCAGTGTTCCAGGCTGAGAAAGGAAATTTGGGGACTGCAGGAAGAAAAAGAACAGGCCCAGGAGGGGTGTTTCTGGAAGTTCATTTTTCAGCATTGCTTCCACTTCAAGTCAGATTAGGCTGCCTGGAAAACTTCCATTTCATACTCATTCTCTCTCACTCTCTACTGAATAGCTAAGTCAGCTAGATTTATTTGTGTGCAAATGGGCAGAGAATTGAATTCAGATACTCCCATCACCATGGCATTGGAGGCATCTATAAATGTTCAAAGAAATGTCTGATTT